GTGCCTTAGATGCGTACTCCGAATACGGCTTGTCCAAAAGTAAGTGTACCTGCAACAACGGAAATAATGTTCTTGATCTAATCTAAATAACGTCAAACACATTAAATAGAAAAACGCAAAGCGTGTGCTTAGCAGACATTAAAAATAAGGCAATATACAAATAATAAATAACACAGCGATATAGGTAGTTGTGAATTCGCAAGGAGCAATCGCTTATATTATAATAGTTATTAAATAATTTTTCAAATGATTAAACAAAACTCACCTAGCGTAAGACTGACACGTAGCATATATATGCCCTTTTTATTCGATAAAGCGTTGCCTAGGTACCTGTTGAACAAAAATAATAATTTATTATCTTATAAATAATTTGTAGTATGTAACACATTAGAAAATACAGAAAAACCAAAATATGTGTATGATGTTAGCTTTTAAGTTTGTGTATAATTAATGGTAGCTTTATTGCGCAATCAAAATAATTCATGACAGAAAGTTATTACGTTAGCCTAGTTATAACGTTCATATTATAACATTTTATATTTTGAATCGTACCGATGATAATTACGAAGTGATATTCAATTTAAAACAAAAACACGATCGACGTTTGCTTTGAATTAAATTAGACCTAATACCACATTTCAAAACGCCAACTCAGTGTATATTTCATCATATCTTGAGCACTAATAACAAGTTCACTAAATTAAGTTTAAATTTTATTATTTAATATTGAATTCTTACAGACATGATAGAACGACATTTAAAAACAAGTATAAATTAAATATGTGTGAGAATTTAAAGAATAAAGAAAAAAACGAATAGATTTCTTTGTAGCCCTAAAAGACGGAATATCTTCCTGCTACAAATATTGGAAAAGCTTTCCTTATTCAGAAATCGATCAAATGACGCATGCGTGATTCTAATCTTCACCGTTTGAGGCCACCGTTAGCTTTACTACACATTCCCACAATTCACGATCACTGGAATGAATTTGCGCCATGTTGCTATTCGAAAAAAAAGAAACAATTCGCTGGGGTTATGCGCGTTTATTGCTGGCGGCAATTTATGTTGTGGTCGGATTTTTCGATATGTTGGCTTCGGAAAAGAACAAAATTAAATGTTTGAACGAACGCAATCAATTTTAACTGACTCGGCGTCACAGCTGCGATACAAACTCTCAGTTAATATAAGATTCGGTAATCCCATTATTGAAATAAAAGCGTGCTAAGCACTAGACTTGAGAATGAGTAATTTAAATAAAAGAAAGAGCACGTCGTCAGTTGGGGCTTTGTGCGTATTTTTATTGGAGCTTGCGGTGCCACAATTCATCTGTGCCTCCCTGACCTCGGATAAAGCTAACGGCCCGATGCATTCGCCGTAGCGAGTTCAACGGCACACAGGTTTTTTCGCAAACTTCTACAACCGACACCGCCATTCAAGCCGCGTCCGCCCCAAGCTCATAATGCAACGGATTAATGGAACGTCGCGCAGCTCGCTCCGATAGATGGCGTTCATCGGGGCAACAGTCCCGAAACCAATGTTTTTGATGTTATACTTCTTTTGGCGCATTTGGAATAAATTGTGAGATTAAATTTTTTACGATGCGCGCTCACATCGATAGTCAAAAACAGTCCTGGCGAAACTAGGAACAGAAAATTTTTCTATGGACTTACGCGGCAAATAATGGCGGATATTGCCAACACACTCCCTCAATGCGGTTTCTCTTTCTTACAATACAAGAAGTGCCATGTTCATTTCACACCGTGTATTTTGAATGTAAATGCTTATTTCATTGTAGATTTAAATTGTTTAGAGTAACATTTCTCCAAAATCGAGCGAGTCGTTCGAATCTTGAAAAATTGATGTTTATGGCGAGATTTCCCTTAGATAAAGCCCGGTAAGCACTTAAATATGATACTCTACAGCCAAATGTAAGTAGAGCAGGCTAAGAAAATACAAAATTAACAAATTTATCTCATTTAAATTGTGTGCTGGTGATGTACTGGAAATGTAATATCCACATGTCGATAACTACGTTAATATTTATCATTGAAAAAAATAAGAAATAAAATGTTGCGTGAAAGAGTAGGGGCACAAAGTTTTACATATTTGAATGGTGTGCCTACATAAATAAGCAAGGATCGTAATAGGTGAATTTTGCAGGATTTAAAACAATCTCTATGACATTGATACGATTAATTTCGTGCGCTGAGGTATGCAAGAAAACTAAAATAATTTTTGGATTTTGATTCTATTATTATGTTTCAATTATTTACAGCAGGACAACAGCGATTGGCTGAAGAATCAAGAGACAAGAAAGAAATTTCATTTCGATTCGTACAAAATGAATAAAATAACTTGCATCCTTATAAATTGCTGTCTAACGTATACAAGACGTTGTCTTGTAAACGTCTTAAATCCAAAAGTTTAATTTTTTAATTATTTTTTTTTAAATTAAATAAAAGTTTAATAAGTTTATAAATCTAAACTATTCTCGACCTGAAGACACACATAAAATTTCAATAAAATTCCAGCCGTTTAAGAGGAGTTCAGTGACATACACACGTACAGAAGAATTATTATATACTAGCGACCCGCTCCGCTTCTCTCACCTTCTTGTCAATCACTCTATCTAGTAAAAAACCGCATCAAGATCCGTTGCGTTGTTTTAAAAATCTAAGCATACATAGGGACAGACAGACTGCGGGATGACTTTATTTTATACTATGTATTGATATAAAGATACGTTAGTCCCGAAATAGGTTTATTAAGTCCGCTTATATTTCGCCTGATTTAGGATAGAATATTTTGCCTCCGCGTTGGAAATTCGAAAGTCTCACATTTGAAATCTTCTTTAATATTTACGTAACCAGAGTAAGTAACTACTTATTTGTGCTTATTAATGACAGATATTAATCGTTTTAATGAAATGATAAAAAGAAGTATCGAAAGGAATTATTTCCTATGACTAATTACTTAATTTAATATTTTTTTTGAGATGAATAAAATAGGGACACCTTCTGTTGGACTACTCAAGAAAAACGGAAGCACTGAAAACGTTATTTTGAAGAAACCGAATTATATTAAACATGCAAATGAAACATTACACCGTTAATGTTTCATTTGCACACTCGGACCATTTGCACACCGTCCGCCATGTAATATCTGAAATAGTGATAGCCGCACATTTTCCAGGCGACCTTTTTGGAATGGGACGTCCGACGTCATTTCCGTTCAAGATAAGGAAATTGAAATTCTGCCAATGTCTGTCTCACTGCGAGCTTCGTCCCTCGCTAAAAACGTTATACGTTTATGAAGTTTCGAATAAAGTGCTCAATTACTTCAACCAATTATGAAGACGGAATGCAAAATATTCGAAACTGCGGGAACTTTAAAATCCGTAAATACCCGTTTCAATAAATAATTTAAAACATATTCTCTTAAAAAAAGAAGCAATTTCATGTAATGTACTGTATAAAGCAATTTCATATTATATATCCCGACGGGCATCCGTATACGTTACCGCTCCCCGTGGTGCGCGGTAACCGCAAACTAACAGTCGATAAATCGAGTCCCATGCCCGTTAAAATTTGTGATAACTACAACAGTTAAACTCAAACACTATAAATAAACACATTACAGCGTACTCATACGTTATATCAGAAATAATCCTAGTGGAGTATTTGTTTTGCTGTTGTATACGTGAATAGGAAATTTTAATTTATCAAGCAGTTATCTATCAAGCTCCCATTTATGGCGACACATTCGAACAAAAAAAAGGTTTTGTACTTATGTTAGCTCTTAAGAAATTATACTTCCTTACCATAACAAAAAAAAATATCCGTGGTGCCGGTACTCTTTGTTTATCAATAAGGCATAAAATGCAATTGATAACGGTTTAATTAATTAACTTGGAATTATAGGTAAATGTGTAAAAAAATATTGGCTTCCATGGTAATACTATGAAGTTGCTTCCATTGTAGTACTATGAGGTCGCTTTGCAACCAACTTTATCATGTCGCTTTTCAGCTGTCGTTATACACGCGCATCGTAAAAATTTCACTCTAACATTTTTCTCTAAATGGGGCAAAAGAAGTATAATTTCAAAAGAAACGTATACGTCAATTTTTATCGTAAGATATGCCTGGCTAAAAAAACTATATTAACAAGCGCGCGTTAAATAAATTTTACAATAAAGGTTATCAATAATTGTTCCTCGCGATTATGTGCATATCAGACAATTATTGTGTCCTTCGCGCCGACCGCGAATCCATCTCGCTATTGTTTAAAACATGGTAATTATCTGCGCTACGCAATAAATATTTCAATTTACTGTTGATAATCTCAATCGCGCCTGTGTGGCGAGATTACAATTAGGCTTAATATTTTACAAATCATATCTATCGATATCATTCATCTGTGTAATACGAAATACAAATACGTACAAATGGCTGTTTACAAATAACAATATTTCCGATTACGCTGAAAATAAACTTGAAGATTTTTATTTATAACTAGCTGTGCCCCGCGACTTCGTCCGCGTGCAATTTAAAAAAAATAAAATTTCTAAAATAAAAGTAGCCTATGTTACTCCTTATGACATCAGCTATCTACCAGTGAAAGTCCCGTAAAAATCGGTTCAGTCGTTTCAGAGATTAGCCGGAACAAACAGACAGACAGACAGACAAAAATTGTAAAAAATGTTATTTTGGTAAAAGTACCGTGTATAGATCCATAAGTATTTAGTAAAAAGTGGTTATTTTAATATTACAAACAGACACTCCAATTTTATTTATCTGTATAGATATTATCTATTTATGGCATTCGAGTGAAAAAGCGATGCCAAGTATTGCTACCGGGAAGCGGTGGCCGTTTATGTATTTTTACATTTGCACATTAAGGGGATACAAAATTTTTGCAATGTACATTAATTTGAAGAAAAAAAAATTACCATAAAGTTTCTTACCCGAGTTCATTTTAATAGTATTCTCTTCCAATGTTCATTTCGATCGCCATTGATTTTCGGAGGCGCAGCTCATCTCGACAACGCACCATATGACGCTGCGGACAACGACATTTTATTTAGTATATATTAAAATAAAATAATATAATAAAATTTATATCAATAAACAAATCGTGTAGAGCACTCGGTCACGAAAAATTTAGGCCGTTCGTCTGAATGAAACCTGTTGCTATTTCTTGCGAAATACAAAATCCTATTCGCCACCATCTCCGTCCATTCCGGCTCCATCGTTTCTTTTAAAACTCAGCCGTAAACCAAACATTTTTCACAATAGACCGAAAGGTTAGCGTGCACTGACACCCTGCTGTTTGGAATGTGTTGCGTAATTCTAAAATCCCTTTGTGACTGTCTCTCTATGGTTGACTTTTGTTAAACAGAGGCTCCGACTACCTGCTCTTTTTTCGTGGCGCTGAAACAATCTATAGCCGACCCTTTCGCCGCCCGAAAATGTTATAATGCACTACATCCCCCTTTATAATATCACTGCGCCATGCGGAGGAATACCAGCTTTTGAAGATGAAGAAAAAGCGTTTTATGGCCATAGGATACGACAAAAAAGAGCGACATTGAAATATTAGCTTTACTACAATTTAAGCATTTACTTTGTTGCGCATAACAAATTAGTATTATTTGCACTTGAGATTAGAAATAGTTCACAAATAATTTAACCGACGAAGACGAATGACTCGACGCGTTAGCAATGTTAATTCCTGTTGCGTGCAGCGTCGCTCTACTTGGTGCAACGGCACGTCGCGTGGCCGGGCCCGGCTCGGTAAGTTTTTTGAAACCTTACATCCACACCATTAGCGTTACGGTGTACATGACGCGCACACGCACGACGCCCGCGTTTCCTTACCACCTAACCAACGTTCTCGTAGATTGCGCACCGCAAACCAATTCCCTTATCTCGGTCCTTAGTGCAATATAATGAACGCATAAGCGATGCGTCGAAAACGGCATCGAATCGGGAGGTAATGGTTGTCGCGACGGACGGCAACGCGCGGAGAATCATTAATTAAATTCGTATATATAATTCCAAGTCACGTAACGCAACATTCAAAGCTCCGAGTCTCTGATGTTTCGTGCCCTCCTAGCTGGGTTCATTCGGCCGCGGCGTCTACCTGCTCTCGTGTCTGGAATCATTTAAGGCGATTATTCCGGTGTCTCCTAACGCGAACTAAAATTGGAGTAATCTAATATTATTTACACGTAGGTGGAGCAAATCATTCTCTGACATCATCATCCCCTTTACGGATCTGTCAACCTGACATTTAACAGTGCAATAAATTAAGCAGTTTGTTTATAGAAGTTACGCAAAACTCAAAAAGACTAGCCAAGCGCATTTTGTTTTAACGCAATTGGGCATCTGTTACTAGGAATGATTTAAAAATAATTAAACGTGTAACTATTGAGGTAACTCAAACAGTTTCGAAAGTAAAATTCTCCCGCTACCAACTTAATGTTTATCTCGGCAGATAAACGTGGAGCGTTTAACAATATGAGTTTTTCATCGACTTGATCACAATTAGTGCTGAAAAAAAACACGTCAGTACTTTGTTTATGAATAGCATTAATCAATCATCATCATCTACGAGAGATGAGTGCGAGAAAAGTCAGGCCGTAAAAAGAATCTAAATAAAATTAAGTTGTAGTGGATCTTCTTCACATTAAACATTTAACGTCACAGTTAGTGTTTTATAATAATTATGATAACTCGTCGGACGAGTACGATAAAAGTTCAACTATATAATATTGTATATTGTATAAATAATATTTAATATTGTATAAGTATTAAACTAAATAATGTTCACTGTTTAAGGCTTTAATGCTAGACATGAAGTGAAAGTAAATATACACATAAAATGAGAAATTGTAAAAACGGAATTTAACGTCGGTACGTTACGGAAAATAAAAATAAAATAAATCGATAGAGATCCATCGCAAACATTTCCAACGGAATTTTTATTTTTTTCCTTAATATAATGGCCTGATGACAAAAAAAATGAATGCTCCTCACGAAAAGCTACGGAATATTTCTAGAAGGCGATATGATGTATTTCCAATGATAAAACGCAAGAGGTGAGCTTTCTTCACATACCGGGCGTTGCGTGTGTCCGGCAACGCGGCGCTGGCGGTTTCGTCGCACTCCATTTCGCATCGGGCGTGCGTTCGAGAAGAGTCCAAGCTTACGTGCATAGAGCCGCGGCAAAAACCCAACATTGGAAAGACGTTCTCGCTCGGAAGTCGCTGCAGGAACGTCGCTTGTGCGGAAGTGGCACGTGCACCCCACATGATTGCTGGCCGAGCGATGCTTCGCTTTGGGAGGGTGGATAGCGGGGGACGCGGCCCGGCAAGGCCGGCGGATATCTGTTGCCCGAAAGAGATGGCCTGCTAGTACCCCCTGAGGATGCGCGCGCAGTTTTCCCCGGCCCGCGTAACTTGTTGAGAAGAGCCGGTACCAATAAAACAGAGAGGCGGTGCACATGTCACGTAAATGCCTAGACCGGCCCCCGAAGTATAAGTCGCGATAAGCGATAAGGCGGCTTCTATCTCTAGCCTCAAATGATGCGGCTATGAAAATTGATTGGATATTATTTATGCGGTTTGCTTTTTGAAGTTATACTTCTTTTAGCGCGTTTGGAAAATATATGAGAGTAAAGTTTTACTATGCGCGCGCACACAGAGCCAGAAAGCAAATTGATGAAGTTGGTTCCAAAGCGACAAACTTCACGGTATTACCATGGCAAACAATGTTTTTTTGATTTATCTATAATTTCAAGTTATTTAATTAAACAATTATCAATTGCTTTATGTCTTTTCAAATATATTTCAAGTATGTGAATAAGTGGCACAGGGAATAAAAATTTTAAAAATATGTTTCTATTATTACGCTAAAGAAGTATAAATTCTTACGTGCGTACATAAATATGCCTTTTATTACCCACATATTTTTTTTTCTTTTAATACAGTTATCAACAGATTATATTGTAGGGATTGAGATGATAATAACGAAAGTAATGTAATTCTTCGATATTTTAATTGGATAGGTAATTTGAGCCGTTAACATTTTTGTGTTTTTCATGGTTTTAGGCCACAAAGCAGGATACGATTAATATTGTTTCATTGCACAATTCTAGTAGTCCTTATTAGGTGTGCTGGTTATTGTCGCGCGAGTCCTCGGTGGCAATAACTGACCTAGCACTGAGCGCACCTTTACCTCGGCTAAAGGTTGTGTCGCACCTGGCGGTTGGACCGCTGCACTTTTATAGCTCGCAGCGGGCTATCTGTCTGCGGCAGTTTATTTTAATGCGTGCGCAGATGGCGCGAGCGCAGCCACGCTTCCCGGCGATTATACACCCTACAGTGTAGTACGCAGGGCGCAGTTAGGCGCGCACGCCGCTCCCAGGGCCGAATTGTAAACAAACCGGGCGAGGGCAATGGCTGCCGGCCACTCCCCGCTCTCGCCGTGCCGACGACGCCATTCAACCGGGAAGTTCACGCTTTATTTTTAGCATTACACGAAACGAGCAACGCTTCACAATAAAAGTCGACTGCGCTCTAAGATGGAATGAAAGTTATAGTAAGTATGTGTGGAAAAAATTCCGAGCCGTAAAAGTACCAGTATTATTTTTGCTCATTGTAGAATATTAAATAGGCACGCTGACGCAAAGTAGGAACGCACCGTACGAAATGGCGTCCTGAAACGGTTAAATTTAAAAGGATGTCCTTTGTCTGTGTGAGTTTAGTGCGCGCGCGCAGTCTAATTTGTTTTTTTTTATTGAGCAAATTATAATCAACGGTGCTTCACTCAAGCAAATTACTCTCGGAGCTAGTTAGCACTTTGCTAAGATAAGATTATGACTTACGCATGAGCTCGTTAAACGGAAAAGAACTATACCCCGTTACCATTTAGTGAAAGAAAATTTTCAAGAATCTTTGTAAATAAATACAAAACTTCACAAATAAGCAAACAGGAAAGAAAACCATATGTATGGTCGGCTATTTTTGTAACCGGTCATGCTAAAATAAAAAAGATCGCTCCGGCGTAGTGGTTAGATTGGAGCTGAATGAGGCTAGGATCGCTTTTATGAGACCAGGTGTAGAAACCGGGGTCAATAGCCTCACCAGCGCGACAAGTAAGTAACAATAATTAATGTATGCGCAAGAGATTCTTCGCGCGCGCGAAGCCCTACTCCGTCATAAGCAACTTTCGACATTGACATTGTAGTTATCGAGGTGCGGTTGAGGCGAAGTGAGGCCAAGAGCGTGATGCCACTACCGTAGATTGTTGTCTTCGGCACCATCGAAGGCGACGGCGTTCTTGCGGGAGTCAATGACCCGAAGTCAAGGAGGGTGCGCGCGCACGCAGCGGTGCCCCGCCTTTATTTATTACGCTACGCGCGGCGCGCTCGGCGCCGGCAACGCGCGGCGGGGCGGAGGCCGCATTCCGGGCGGCCGGAGCTGCGGCTCACCGCGGTGATTAAAATAACGCGCTCCGCACAATTTCGCCGGTCAACCGACGTCATTGCAGTCACACTTTTAAATAATCTGTCTGATACTTACGGTCTAGGGAGTCGGTGTCGGCAGCGGGACGGCGAGCACGTGCACCAACCTCGTGCACCACCACTCTAATGTCCGTCGCCTCACAGTCACCAAAGTCACTGTACAAGCTGGAAAAAGTTCGGGTGACGTCGTGGTGCATGATCGCGTTCACGCCGGCACGTCTTCGTTAATTATAAGTCAACACGAAAGTTCACATGGCGCACGTGAAGCGTGGAGTAGGAACGACGGAGTACACGTCAAGTCAGGTGGCAATATGACGCATTAGTGAGCGCGCGGCGCGGCCGTTCAAAATGCGCAAGCAGACGGGGCGCTAGAGCGGGCGCGGGGCCGCGGGAGCTACCCCCCCACCGACCCAACGGCCGCTCTGTGCTGCCCTCTAGGCCGGGCTCATCGACCGCGCGCGCCCTCGGCACAGCACAACGCTGTCATGGCATTATCACCGTACCGCAATGGGACGCCCTCACCTGGTCATACTGATCACAAAACGAACAGCAGTTACGCTCTGAGCCTCCTACTTTTTCAATTTGAATTCCATCAAATTGAAACGCGTAAACGGCTCAGAAGTTCATCTGCAAAACCTAAGCCGACCTAAGCGACGTTGGATTACACGTATTACGTATAGTACGTGCCATTAAAAAAGATGGCGCGTTACGATTGTATACTAACAAAAAATACGAGCTCCTTGGTATCAGGTATGTCTTGTCGGGCGGTGATTCGCTAATGGACCCACTCAGAGGACGTGTCAACAACCACGCGTACGTCAGGTTCGAAATCACGACAAGCAAATGGCAACGTAAAACGTATAAGTTAGAGCACGATGGTGACGGCCGTTTCAGCGGCGATAAAGGGGTTTAAATTAATTTGTCGCTTTTTAATTACTTTTTCACATCAACCTAAACGCTCTCTCTAGACTTTAATGAGAAACCTTAATCGATCCAACTTTTTACATTAAAACATTGAACTTGGTTTTTTGTTCAATGTCGCTCGAGTAAACTAGTTCACTTCCGAATGAGATACGAGCGGTGTGACCCGTCTAACGGTCGCCATTCGCGTTGTGCTCATGAACATGATTTGTACGAAATCAAAAGTGCCAAGATTCAATCGCTCGTACGTTGTCCAAACAAGATGGATATTTGATTAATACAAATGAAAAGAAAACTATATATCCATGGGCGTAACGCAGATAATAAATAAAAAAATACCCTAATGAATGTACAAACATTTTCGAAAATTTAATATAGGTACATAGTATACGTTCACATATAATTCTTTTGTTAATAAAAACTAATTAGTAATTATTGCAAGACAAGACTAATTACCTAAATCGGAACATGAAGGTTTTTATACGGGAAAAAAGGAAAAAAGAATTACAATTTAAGAATGGTGTTTCTTAAAAAATAGAACTTGACTTATGTAGCCAAGTAAGGAACGCCTAGTTACGCTTTAATTAACACTAATTTCAAAAACACTAATTAAAAATTATTATTAATATAAATAACAGATAAGGTTTCTCATCGCGTTCCAGCGCGAATAAAGAAAAAGCTAAAAAGGAAACACAATTATTTGTAATACTACTAAGGTAACTGTTAATAAACCAGTATGAAACATGCGTTATTAATACCCAAATTTGCGTTGGGCAGAAAGTAATCACGGCTAGTCGTCTTATCTAATGCTATGTTCATTATAAAAAGGTATCCATATCTTCCTTGTAATTTACAATTTTTAATTTGGCATTATGTCATTCATGACTAAACTAACAAGGCTAACGCCAGGTTAAAATCTTTCATTCTGATTATTCTGATCAGTTCAGAGAGCTTAACCATCATTTTGACAACTCAAATAACATTTGAAAAGTCATCGGATAGCTAATTTGTTAACTTTTAGTGCAGACTTGAGATTCCGTGAACATATTGTCGAAACCTGTAAAAAGTCGTACCGACATCTGGGTTTCGTCGTAAGACAATCGAGTAAATTCGACAACATAAAAGCTATAAAAGCCTTATATGAAGCTTTGGTAAGGAGTCACTTGGAGCATAATGCTGTGATATGGGCTCCGCATGAAAATAAATATAAGATTCTGCTCGAACGTATCAATAGCAAATTTGCTCGATTTTTGTATTTTAATTTATATGGAGTGTTTTCGGGTAATCCGGTACTATATCCTACTTTATTTGTCCTAGGTATGGTAGGACATAATACACTTGAAGTGAAGTGGGAAGTTTTTCTAGCCACGTACCTTTTTAAGGTATTGCGTGGAAAAATAAATCATCCGATTGTATTGCAGCAGATGAGGCTATGCGTACCAGATGGATATTTGAGGAGGAGGCGGCGGCCGATGCTATTATCTGTACCTAGGTCACGGACTAATTTATTACGTAATTCGCCACTGAATCGCGCGTTTTGTACTTTAAATACAGTAGCTAATGAATTAGATTTATTCCATTGCTCATTGAACGAGTTCACATTGGCTAAGTTCCATGTTCTCACTGTTTAGTTTTAGCTATAAGTAGAGTTATATGTTAGCTTAACTGTATTCGGACTACAGTATCGCATTAGGTGCAGCCTGTAATGATAGTTGTAAGTTGATGTATAAATAAAAATAAAAAATAAAAGCTTCTACGGTAATCAGTTTTTCAGAAACAGTCTCGCAGCATAACGCATCGAATCAAATGAAGGAGTGATGCAAAGCCCGTTATAGTAAGCAAATTATTGTAATAAAGCCGATCGTCAGCGTTCCGATTTCACAGAGGAGATTAAATTATAAAGCCTGAATACAGTCCCATTAGCAGTGAACGCCTCTCGGTTACCTATCAACCAAAATTCCATTAGCAGAGAGCGAAGGATTGTGGTATATTGGTATTATGGCTATTTGAATATTGTGGTGGCTATAAATCAATTGATTTGCAACGTATAACGCACGATCGAGTTTAACTTCATAAGATCACATCAATTTGTCTTGACGATAAGTTTTATGTTTTTTATAACATTTGATAAATTAAGAAATATGAATCATAAATCACTTAGAGAAAGTGGAGTTAATGATGTGTGTTAACTGTTTAAACGTTGGTCGCGGCTCAATAAGGGATGCCCGGGTCATCTTGAGAGCATGCGCCCGGCCAAAGGAGTTCCTGGCAACAGAGCGTTTCCCGCTGTGGCCGACGCATGAGATTTTGGCAGGGAAGGCCGTGGTTATATGCGGCGACGCTAGCGCGGTGTCCCCGCTCGGGCGTTTGGTCTGCGAGGGCGAACGGAGCTGTCGCGCGCCCACGCCCGGCGTCAGAAATAGCGGCGCGGGCGCCGACGGTGACTCAGAGCAGACAATGGGCCCGGTGTTCCCGTGCGATAGCTTTCGCTGACGCGTCACCGTCAAACCGCGCCATCGCATCGGCATTATTAACGAATGTGCCCCGAAGCACCTTTACTTTTTATTTCCACGTTCGGGATTCATTGATTTCATTGTATTTATTAAATGAGCTTCGTTCAATTCAAAGCTCTCGAAAGTTACCCCTTCTTATCTTTTACTTGTATTTGCTTATTTGTAAACCCTTCTTGTACCGGCTATGCCATTATGTATACCTTATTATATATATACTCTTCGGTGAAAAAGCCGCACGTCGACTGTTTCAGCGAACAGTTTTAAATATTTCTCGAAGTCAAGTTCTCGTTGTCGGCAAATACTCGCACACGCACATACTAATGTTATGGTAATCATTACGCTGTACACATATTAATTTGAATACGGCACTTCAGCCCAGCTATCGACAAAGACCACCAATCAGCAACGGTGCTAGGTCTTGTAAAAAGGAAGCCAACATACTACATAACGGACATACACGCCTAGCGGCACTGTTATACATTAAATTCATTTGAAAATAAAACGTTAACATAACTATTGACTAAATCTTTTCCAATAATATCGTTTACTTTTTTTCTTATACATACTACAATAAACTAAAAAGACTACTTTATAGACGCATGAGTAGTTAGCAAAAGAGAATAAAAAAAATACAGCCAGTGTTTGTAGTTTTAATTGTACCTTACAAAGAGAAACTTACAAAACATAATACAGGAAAAGTCCTTGAATGAGATTGCAAAGAAAACAAAATGTATCATCAATAATAACAGCGTATATACTGCGTCAATATTTACACGCACTAGTCGTGCAACATTCCTGATAAACAATACCTACGTTGTTTCCAAAATTTTTAGCCTAGGACTTTTTGTCCAATACATATTTATTTTCATTTAAAATTTGAATTTGAATAAATTATCTGGCTGATAATATATATCTTTGAATTGTTAACTTTTTAATGTAATCGTTTCATCCTTTTTCGACAACGAGAGTGTGGCGTACATTGAATGGTTCATAGTCGTCTATGATGACTGCACTTAATATTTAACAGTAAAATTTGTAGAAAAAGTACGAAAAGATTGTCATCGCTGTGGGAATCGAACCCACGTCTTCGGCAATCGCGGCCTGACGCTTTATCCACTAAACTAAACGGCTGATTGCCACACGGACGAAAATTTTGACGCCTTTTATCTAAATTGTTTTTTAGCATTTTAAGCAATGCTTGGCGCATCGATTGTTATATCCTGTCTAGCATACAAACAATTTCGATAATTCGAACGAGAGATGTCGCCATTGCTTTTTAGAAATTTTTTTAATAGTGCTAATCTCTGCACTTAATATTTAACATTAAAATTTATAGAAAAAGTACGAAAAGGTGTGGCAATTAGCCGTTTAGCTTAGTGGCTAAGAACCCACGTCCGCAAAGAAAACTTCTGCTGTGACCGTTGATCAATTCTTTCGATTTTCAATCTTCAGTAGGATTCCGTTTTTTCTAATTTTAAATGTTTTGAGTAGCTAGTTAAGTCAAATTAATAAGGAATCATGACTAGAAAAGGATTATTTAGAAACTGATAAAAAACAACACAGATTCTTGAGTATGAACGATCAACTGATTAACGTCAAAACATTGTAATCAAGTTCTCACACAAAATGAGATGACTTTACCATCTACGTTAAACTAGTGAGATAAAAACAATGAGAATTAAATAACAGAAACATTAATTGCCGCAATGAAAAGATCAATTTGCTTCTAAAGCAACTTAGATCGGAGAATATTTATCTCTAAAGTTTTATGTTCGATGAGATGTTTATTTATTCGTCATAATACATTAAATGGCATTCAGAGAACTTGCCTTGCGACCAGCGAATGTTTAAAGAAAGATGCGAGATCAGACTGCGTCCGAGGGAGACAGGGATGTTTAGCGTGGGAACGCACCTCAGCGCAAGGAGAATTACCACGTTTGAGCTTACGGTGGTTCTAGCAACAAGTTGGTGGAAGACAATAGTACCCCTTGTGTGTTTCATACTCATTTAGTTTCGGGTACATTTTGAGTTTCGGTAGCAAAAGACAAAAGCAATGGCTTTGAAACATCTTTTCATTTTGTTTTGAAGCAATGAATAGCTATTGAAGGCAGGCAAATGACATTTAAGTGCGTAAACAAATCGTCAACAACACTAGTAACCTTCAGGTCAAGTATTTTATCGAGCGAAGTTAAATAGTAAACAATATTACACTTCACTCGTGTTTCCTCATTTGTGGCTTAACGATAAATTATTTTTTTTATAAGAACATCATTAAGAAGTAATACTTTTGCGTCCAAATGGCGATCGTTTTTATAAAAAATACAAAGTAATCGGAGACGCGATAAATACAATATTTATTACCATAGCAACTCACGGACGCAGAGCGGCACCCAATGTAACGCTGTGTAAATAAAAAAACAGGTCGACTTATGTTTAATTTAAGACTTTTGCGCTTAAACGAAGTAAAAGGTGACATGGGGTGGGCAGATGTTTCATCTTAACATTAAAATTATATGCTTCATGTTAAGGGCAGAACGATCGGCCGAAAAACGTTTCTTTTAGCAGCAAATACCTGGTGTATTAGTTGGTTAGTGCCTTGCAATGCCTGATTTCATTTATATTAAGATATTTAGCAAACATAATGTTATATATGTGAGGGAAAACTATATTAATTTAAGGTAGGGTATATTTATTAGACAAGTCTCACATTAATTTCACACAGAAATTTCATGATTCGTGGAATAATGATCTAATTCATATGTGCTTATGTTAAGCTGCTATGAAAATGTACACCATGTACACCAGCATCCATTTCAATAAATGAAGGAACACCAAAAGTATTAACAAAAGTATTAACCAATCGACATACATAATATGCCAATGGTATGGAATTTCGTTTGGTACATACTTATTTTGCCAACTCTAAACAAACAAAAAGCGCCGTTATGGGCCATAAAACGTGCGCTCGTGGCGCGTTCATGCAGCTCAATCCGAATCAATGGGTACTAGTGAAGCTTACATCGACATCTCGATACCGATACTACTTCGGCTAATCCGCTAGGTACTTGCCTTAGGACCTGATCATTGGTCATATTGTCATCGTCAGTACACCCATCCATTTTGTATGGGACAACAGTAAAAATACCTCCATGTTAGCTCGGTGTCAGTATCATTTGTTTCAGCCATGCAAATCGTACGTTGGCACTTCGTGGACATTATTTTTATGGTCTGCAAGTTATTGACTTAAATTAGGCGCTACATTCAATTCCGCAGGAACAGTTAGGCGAAAACGCGTCTCGAGATTGCATAGGCCGCGCTAGGCGCGTGAAGCGGTCGCTCGACCTTGCGCGGTGTTTACGTCGGCGGATCGGTCGCGGGCGCGTCATGGCCGCCCGTTGCACCGCGTGGGACACAAACAACCCACATAGCCATACCCACGGAACGTACAGCGCTCCGGGTATGCAGGACACCCGCCCGCGTCCGGTTGGGTGCGACGCGCTCCGATCCAGCGGGGATGCCACTGAACTCTCAACGCACGCCGTCGACTCGAGCCTTCTGCCGCAGGACGTATTATTATTACTTTATTATTGAACACTAAAACGCACGGATGCCGATGACAATGTTTCCATCCGCGGATTATCTACCGATCGTAGCGAATTGGCAATATGTGCATTGTACGTGTCTTGTTAACCCGTGGAAAACTTTAGTAAATTTTCATATTTACACGTGAGAAGCAGCTGCAAACTGGAGTCAAAAATCCATTGTTATGAAAGATGCTTATTTTACTATTTGTAAATATAGTTTATTTATAAGCTATTTAAAAGATCAAAACGAGAGATCTTTATTATCCAGTTTTATGCATAAGAACGTCGAGATTGTTTGAAAATTAGATGAGACATTAGGTAAATTTTCTTTCACATTACGAAGATTTCAGAGTGCGAATAGTCGCTGCCGATGCCAATGCGATATAAATTGTCATTCTCGCCGTAAGCAGTCTCTCGGCGTATTTAAAACTGACAGGGTCGTCAAAATCATGGCAAGTAGGAATAAAATGCAAAAAAGAGAAAAGAACATAATTTGCCCTTGTGAAGAACGGAATTTTGAATACAAACATTAACATTCAAACGAAAGGTGTGCGGTCCTTGCACGAGTCACTTGCCTTCATTATAATCCTACTCGTAAACAGGTATTAAAGATGATGAAAGATGATTTAGATGCTAAATATCACAACTCTGTTTTGTTTCTTGGGGCGAATCTTCAACTTCAAAATCTCCCGGAAATCAGGGTTGTTTACGATTCTTGCCCTTGCACTATAACTCCCGGACCTCACCCTACGTGCTAAAGGTTGAGAGGACCTACGGGATCATACCACTGCCCTCTGTGCTGCGCGGAAGAAAATGTCGGAGAAGAAGGACATAACTTCCTTTAGCCCCTCACCGCTTTGCGCTAACTCGAGACCCCGTCAAAATACTGCATCTGCTAAGTCGACTATGAGGTACGACCTGGCGTCCATCCCTTATCCATCCGTTTTGTTTGGGCCCGAGGCTATACGGCTGCTCACAAGTATAAAAGAAAAAATACATTTTCAGCCAATAATTAGATACTATACTCGACTTCAAAAGAAAGGGAGTGATTTAAATGCTAATAATTAAAGAGCCCACATAAAATTGAGTATATGACCAAAATTGGTAGCCGCTCCCGAATGAAGCATTACAAACGCAAATGCAAATTAAGCGCCATACCGCTATTTGGTATCAGGGAGCAATTATCATAGTAGGTCTTCATAATTGACAATTCAAATTCGGTATGGATGGACTTTGATTTATAAGAAGTTCCTTTGATACAGGTTACAGCAGTTATAACATTTTTTTTTAAATTTTTTTAACATTGTCGTTACTTTACGATATTATTATCCTGTGTTGTAATGACGTTTTACAAACATAAACTTCACGCAGACAAACACCCAGATGCGAAACAAGTATCTGTGGGTCACACAAATATTTGTCCCGTGTGGGAATCGAACCCACGATCCCTGACGTCGAAGCCAATAAATTGGCAACTGCGCCACGGAGTCATCAAGATTCGAGGAACATTACATATGACGTAAAATGTTACATAGTTACTTTCTTCATTCCTTTAATGATATATTTAGAGGAATGATGAATTCATATAAAAGAGCATGTTGGGGCTTTTTCCATTAAAGTTATTCCTAAGTTAGAGGGAAAGATAAATTGAATCCAGAGTATACTTTCGCAAAAAAGAATCTTTCGCTAGAGCTAGAGTAGTTTGCATTTATGTTAGTTCCAATTTTTCATAAAGGTGAATTATGGCGTAATATTATAATAAAAGAACATTAATTATATTTTTTTATATTCACTGGAATAGTAGTTCAACACAGTTATTAAATGCTATAAGAAATAGCGTTTAATTAAAAAGAAAGATAGTAACAGTAAAATGGTCTTATTGCACAACATAACAACTGTTTATTTTTACTTTTACATCTTTATATAAATAATTCTGCTGTACATGTGTATGTCACTGAACTCCTCCTAAACGGCTGGACCGATATTAATTAAATTTTTTGTGTGACTTCAGGTAGATTCGAGAATGGTTTAGACACAAACATATTCAAAAATTTTGGAATTTTAGGATTTAAGGCGTGTGTACAGGACAACGTAGGTCGCGTCCGCTAGATGTATTACAGTATTAAATCATAATATTGTATTATGTATTACATTACATTTGAGATTTGCATATGACTATTTCTATTTTTATGTTCAATTAACATAAGTTTTTTTAATATGTTTGTGCACCGCACCACCTCTCAGTACCCCCCTTAGAATGACTGGTAGAAAATGCTGTGTGTTTGCATGAAGTTTTTAAAATAAAAATAAAAATATAAACAAGACATCATGAAATTACAAATCAATATCGTGTCTTAAATGGGTCCAGTAGGTGTCTAGGACAGTGGAAGCTGCTCTCACTGAAAGTTGCGTCAAGTTTACGTGGCATGCTTGCATGTAACAAGTGCTTTTTTTTAACGAGAAAGCAAATAGTCGCGCGTTATTCAATAAGTTTGCCGTTACGGCTATTAATATCCAGTCGGCAGAGAAAATCATACGCCGTGCCGGCTGCGTGCTTTTAGCACTTGTATGTACATTTTCTTGAACTAAAGCCAAATAACGACGAAGCCACGCAATTTTAAATTGAGTTCCTTCACGGATGAAAAAGTAATATATAAAAGAATTTCCTCACGCACTACCGGATGGATTCAAATTATAGTTGTAATGGTAATGATATTTCACAATCAATTATCTATTATTGGTATAAACTTTTGATTTAAATATGCTTCGTGTGGTCTTTTGTGGGTCTGCATTTTTAAATAATCAGTTTTGAAATTTGTATGACATAAGTTAAAGTAAATTTTTCAAAATTAAAATCAGCTGGACGGGAGGCAACAAACTCTTCAAAAGCATTTTGTATTGCCTGTCAGGAATTAAATTATCCCCGTCAAGATGTTGTCCAAATTTTGGAAAAAGTTATAGTCTGTAGGTCATGTTCAAGGCCTGGTGAGTATGGGGAATGAGGGACAGCTACCAACCCAAACTCTTGCAGCTTGGAAACTGTTTTGCAGTATGGGGTAGCGCGTTGTTGTGAAGGAACACCGGGGATGACCGAGTGACCGAAGCTGGTTGCAGATGTGCGTGCTTCTCCTTAATTTTCTTCAATTCTTCACAGTACACATCTGCAGTAAGGCTCATGCCGTTTTGTAAAAAGCTGTGATGAATTACACCGGCACTAGACCACCAAACAGTGACCATCATCTTTCTAGGGGTCATTTTTTGTTTAAAAAGATCTAGATCTTGAAAATTTCATGTTTTTAAAACAAAACACAATTTAATTTAGAATACAAAGCCAATCAAAACTTTTTTGGTTTGAAATAGCCAGTACTAAAGAACGGCAATCATCATGGGTTATTATCATACCAAAACTGGCAAGTGACCATTTAAAGCCAATATTGTTACATTACTTAAAAGTAGGTACCTATAGGTTAATCACCTGAATTGACCAAATGTTTGAACATGTTACCTAAAATTATCCTACCATGAAATAATTCGAATTAAAAAATGAACTAATAGATAAGATATTTGACTAAATTGATAAGAAATGTAAACTTAGCACACAGAAAGTATAGTGCTTTAGTTGAATGTTTCAACATATCTTACATTTTACACTGTTTTATGAATATAAATACATTGATTCGTTGATAAAAAGAAATAAATAGAAATATATAATACGCTTAAAATATTTGATTAAATGAACCGTTCAAATATACGACTGCTTCCTAAGATGTGAATCTATCTATCACAGGCATGAAAGTTATGTGCAAGAATGTCTAGCGTTGCACAAACTGCATCAAATCAGACAGAGCATAAGAAAGCGCAATTAAGCGGGCTTATGTTTATGATTCTAACTGTTTTTTCTTTAGTCACTCATTCACACAGAGCCGACGCGACGCTGACGTATGAGATAGAAAGCATCCGTCGGGGCGAGCGTGAGTTTCGCGCCCTGCGACCGTCTTTCGGATACCAAATAACGCTACCACACGCGCCAAAGCCCTAGAGAGGAACGGAAAGAGTGGATTCTCGCGGTGCGATAGAGAGGTCGGAATGGTCGCGGAATGCGGCGCACTTAATTTTTCTAACGGACTGCGGGTCGAAAAGCGCGCGTCGACGCACGGCGGCGGCGGGGGCCACGCCATGTAGTACGGGCCGAGTGCTGAGGGGCTCGGTGTGGAGGGGGAAGGGAGAGGTCGGAGGGGGAGGGCGGGGCGGAGAGGCATCGGCTGTAGTACGACGGCCCGCGCTTCTCGTAAAGGAAGCGACCCTGACGCGGTCATTGCTCGCCGCGGCCGCATTCCTCTCCCTCGGCCCCCGGCCCCTCGGCGCCTGCGCATCAATGAACGGCGCGCGCGCAACTACCGCGTCAGCTAGCCCCGTCTCGCTCCCGCGGCAATCCGTTTTATCCCCTTCCTGCCTTCGTGATACCACTTTATCTGCATGACTCCACCGGCAGTCGACAGCTCTATAAACTGTCATGTATAAACGCAATTCGCCATTGACAAGGCAGTAGGCACGAGTTACACCAAACTAAATCTAAACTGACCAGCCAGTCTATTGGCTGCTTCGATGACTGTTTGATATGAACAAATAAGAATGCATACGTTTACTTATTCATAAAAGGCAAACATACGGGGACAGGTTGTTAGATCTCATGTTTTTACCGATAGGTATGTAATATATGTATATAATAAATTTTGATGTAATAATAACGATTAATTTCCCTAGGAATTTCATCGACGTTTTCAACGGCCTCAATTGACAATGTAGGATTATATAAAAAAAGTCTAATTATTTGCAATTTTGTACAAAAATATACGTCTTACATGAAAGCGTTTTAATACATATAACTTGAGCATCAGTTAATATTCCACTATCTCAACTATCAACACTGAACTCAAAAGCTCCACAATAGGTTTAACGAAATGCCGTGACTTTTTATTAATCTCGCAGAAACGACAACTACAATATGTTTAAAAAGGATCATTAGCTTTTTTAATTGTAATCAGCATAATTAAAAGTAGCGCTTCAATAGCCGGAACATCAAACCAAAGTGAGCCTTGGAGCGCCGATTCCGAGAATAGTATCAAAGAAATTGCGCCAAGCGGGATAGGGCGAAAGCGTCGTTAATGGTTTACGTTAGCCATCGAAATCGTCCAGCGTGGCCATTGGACGGCTTCGAGCTTTGTAGCAGGGCGCGGTCAACGCACAGCAAACTGCCGGACTTACAGGTTGGACATGGGGCAATGGAATCCGTGGGGGACAAAAAAGCAACGCGCCCGCGCCGCCCGTTGTGCGCGCAGCGACTACTAAGCGATAAAACACACGACGTATCCTTTACTATCTATCTACAGCTTTAATACTCACCTCCGCGTGCATCAAGTTCATTACTCTAAGACAAACGCAATGTGGTCAATAAATTAATACCAATGTCATATGGCGCACACTATAAGCCATTGAATTTACTTATAGTGCAGTAACTAGTTATATAGGTCACATCGATTGCGATGAAATTATATAATTATTTTCTATCAAATACTATTATGATTTAGAAATCTCACCTGACATATCATATTCGTTAATTTTATTTCAAGTTTAAAGTAATATAAAACGAAAATTTCCATTTTCTCAGCGCTACTGCATTCCCGCTAGTCAGCACACATCCGTTCCAAATGAAAAGCCCTCGTAAGCCGCATAAGTTTTTCACTGAGCGTATTTACAAAACGGAGCTACTTCACAAGCTATGGAGCGGAAGTTATACTTGACTAAGAAGCTCTGAACAATTCGCAACTCTTAAACGTTGAAGCGTACTGCCATTTCGCAGCTGTACAGTTGAGCGAAATGGCCTGTGTGCAATCTCTACAATTGGTTTAACCGACACTCTTTGATTTGTCGTCAACCGAATGCGATTAGGTCATTGTCGATAAATTGTTAGCGCGGATCGGGCGTGCGATAATACAAAAACGCGGAATGCTAACGTAATTATGTTTACGGCAAACAAATATATAAAAAATATACAGAAGTTATATAGAAAAAATATAGCATTCGTAATTAAAAATAAATACTGACGTGGGCTTATTTGGTTTTTTTATGGGGAAAAGGGGCAATCAAGCAGGAGGCTTACCAGATGGTAAGTGATTCCCACTGCCCGTGAACACCTGCAACACCCTAATTGCTTTGCCGGCTTTTAAGGAAAAAGCATGCTCTCTTCTAGAAGGTCCCAAGGTCGTTACCGTTCGGAAAGATCGCTGGTGGCCGAGGCCAGATTTAGAGGCCTGGAGGCCTCGGGGCAACAAAGGAGTGGAGGCCCCTTGGTCTCAAATTATTTTCCCAATAATTTATTTTTTCCGCCGACTTTTCCAATAAGTAATTTATTATGAAACCGAGTATATATTCTTCTTCTCTACTACTTAACGGACATATAAATATAATTGGAAACAAAAAATATCAAACGAAAAGACCGGATGGAAGTTAGCGAAGAATATTTTTTTAATTAAATGATATGCCAATTAATTGCTCTTGAAATGCTACATTAGAATCCGTAATTGCTCCACGTTTATTACTATTCATTAATTAAAAAAAAATAATTTTCTAAAATTTAACTTTGCTATAAAACATAAAACATCCAAGTTTTTGTAATTTTTTTTTGCTCAAAAAATTGCTCTCAATTTTCTCTATTAATTTAAAAAAATATTACAATTTTGCAATATTTATAATAATATAAAAAAGATATTTGCATGCAAATTGCTGCACTATGACGTCATCAGTGGCCGTTGATGGCCGTATATGGCAGTAAAGTTGATAATAATCCATTAAATATTACAGGTATGTTATTGTTATATTTAAATTTAGTATTAACATATTTAAAATAACAATTTTTAATCTATAATTATTTTAATTTAATATTAAGTTTATTTAGTAAATGGGCCAGCAACACTAATAATAATCATAAATTTTATTTTCAGATCGTAAAAAATTATTACCTGCGTGATGATATTTGGCGTGGATCTGAAGTCAGGTAATTTTTTTTTGAAAAATAAGTGACCGAGAGCTTACTAGATTCTAGGTCATACTATGTAATGTATGACATAGATATTCTTCTCGATCAAGTATATTTTTTTCTCGTTAATTAAAAGCTTTCATCAAATTCAACTATGCTCAACTCATCCAGCTATTGAAATAATCGGTCGTTCGTCGCAACCACTCTTGAGATAGCTAGAATCTTCGAAAGTTAAACAATGCTCTAAATTATGATCTATTTATTCTATCTGATTTATTTAGACATTCAAATTGGTTTTCAATGAATTCACCGGCCACTGATGACGTCATAGTGCAGCAGTTTACATGCCAATGTTTTTTTTTTAATTATTAGAGCACATTGAGAGCAATTTTTTAAGCAAAGAAATTTCCAAAAAATGTGATGTTTTATGTTTTATAGCAAAATTAAATTTTCGAAAAAAATTTTTTTTAATTAATAAAAAATTAATTAATTGTAATAAACGTGGAGCAATTACGGATTCTAATGGAGCATTTCAAGAGCAATTAATTGGCATATCGTTTAATTTAAAAAAAAATATATTCTACGCTAACTTCCTTCCGGTAAGGAAAAGTTGTTTAGTAGTCTGAATTTGAATTTTTTTTTCGATGTCTCTAATGTGGGGGCCCCTTTTTTGTGGAGGCTCCGGGGCTGTAACCCCCCGGTTGCCATCCCCTTAATCCGGCCCTGCTGGTGGCAGCTGGTTCCAAAGAGTTATGCGAGGCAGGAAATTCCACATCAAGGTGGTGATGATGATGTGAATTTTTGGTTTTGGCGCGATGTTCGATGGTGAATACAGCCCCCGGGATGAATCCAAACATACGTCATACATAACAACAACATCCAAACCAAACATCCATCTAACAACCAAACATAACAAACGTCATAAATGCGGTAGAAGATGCAGAGTGATCCAACATCTCTACACAGAGCCAAAGGATCAAACCGATCGGAAAGACTTTGACTGTCGATAATCCTAGCCGACCTACATTCAAATGCGGTCAAATGGAAGAAGCTGGTAATAGGGGGCTCACGCGCACAGATGAGAACAGCACTCCATGTAGGGCCGAACTTGCGCCTTATAGAAGTTAAGGCGTTGAGCACCAAGCTTCCTTAAGGCCAATTTGGCTATACCCTCCAATTGACCGCGAAACCTGGAAGTAGCTCGAGATTTCGACGCCATGAATTCCGATACTAGCTGTGTCAGGCAAGGGAGTGTTCTCGAAATGCAGAGTTACGACAAATGGGGACCTTTAAGCGGTCAACACGCAAACTTGGGTCTTTTTAGGGTTAAATTGGATTAAGTTTAGTCGACGCCAGTTTGAGACTTTGGTAGTCAAAGTCTCGACCTCAGATACAAGCTTGTTCCGGCTCTTCCACAGTAGAGATTTTCCCGAGAAATGTTAGCACGGCGAGTATACGAGACATCCATAGTGCCTTCTTCTTAGCAATGAACGTTGCTGATTTGCAACATGTCTTTGATATGCAGAAGAATCAAAGTAGGAGATAGTACACAGCCTTGTGGTACCAACATTAATAAATTTAGGATCAGAGAATGCACCATCGCAGAAGACCTAGATGCTCTGATCTGCTGATGCTCTGCTTGATGGTGATCCAGTTGCATAATTTCTCGGGAAGTCCATAGGAAGTTATCTTTGAAAGACGCGCTTTGTGCTCCTCCCAATCAAAGGCCTTCGCTGGCCGCAAGTCCCCCTTGCTCTCAACTGCTTCTGATCATCTATGCATAAGGTAGACCAAAAGATGACCGGCTAAGCGAACCCGACGAAAGCTGTACTGGCGGTCGCTAATCAGCCGTTGCTCCTCTAGATACCGCAGGAGCAGGGAGTTCATAATGGAGTCCATTATCTTGGTGATAGGCCTGTTTTTGGACGGATCCGAGCGGTTGCCTTTTTTAGAGAGCAGGTGCACTAAAGCATCCTTCCATGAATTCTGGACTACGCCTAACGAACCTACCTAACGAGCCTACGAAGAGACGCCTTAAAACCGGTGCCAACTCTGGAGCACATGTTTGTAACACGATCGTAGGGATGCCATTGGGCCCACGCGACTTGTGAATGTCCAAGGAGAGAAGTGCTTTGTAAACTGCACTTTGCCGAAATTTTCCTCCGGCATCGTAGCATCACACTGCTGATGCGGGTGAGTCTCCTCGGTCATCCAAAGTCGAGTCCTTCGCGCCATGGGCCAGCGAATCATAAACCGTGTGCGCAGAACACGCACGTGTTCCTGATGTGATGATCACGCGCCAATGTCTCGCCAATTCTGGCTAAACCTCCGACTTCGCCTTAGCAATAACACGTTTGGTCTCAAAAGAAAAAAAACAAAAGACGTATATTTTTAATACTTTTCCCATTCTATTAGGGCATTAGGGGATTATCTCGTTATGTTATTTCTCAAAGGTGTTTTTGTCAGTGCCCCATAACTT